GTTTGCAAAGGAAAAGCCAGAAATGCTTTTGAAAAGAATGCTGTCCCAATTGTACACCGATGTGACTGTAGTCAAGATAGATTATGAAGGAGAAGCCAAGAAACTGCTAGAGTGAATGGAAAACCCTTGGAAGGGTTTGGGCATGGAATATTCCTCATTTAGGGGTTCCAGGAAAGGGACAGGGCAGGGCAGGGCAGGAGGAAGTGGGTATCAGGCAGGAGCAGATGGTGTGATGAGGACACAGATAGCCTCTAAACAGGAAAAGGCCAATTCTAATGACAAGACAGGGAGCAGAAAAGCCAGGATTCCATTCCAGGACCTCGGATTCCAGATTGAGCACTCCACTCCATTATACAACACCACCTTGTCTCCATATTAGACGGGAAACTGTTTGAGGGCTGGAACTGTGTCCCTTTTCATTTTTGTAACCCTAGACCAGGGGTGGGGAACCTGCAGCCTCAAAACCACAAGCGGCCCTCTAGGTCCTCAAGTGCAGCCCTTTGACTGAATCCAAACTTCATAGAACAAATCCCCTTAATAAGAGGATTTGTTCTGTAAAACTTAAGACTCAGTCAAAAGGCCAAACCCAAGGACCTAGAAGGCCACACGTGGTCTTGAGGCCACAGGTTCCCCGCCCCAGCCCTGGACCTTGGCACACTGACCCACACATAGTAAGCATTTGGTAAACATTTGTTAAATTGATGGGACTGCTAAGGTCCCTCTGCAATGGGGACATTCTTTGAGTATGTATTTTAGAATCTTGGGTAAAATTTGAATAAGTAACCTATTAGTTTTTGCCAGGCAGAAGAAGGGAATGAGGAAGGAGGGAAGGAAAGAAGAGTCAGAGCAGTGAAAAAAATTTAGTCTGTTAATTCTTTACATGATCCAAGTCACCCAGAGGAGGACAGAGCACTGTCCAGAAGCCACTGGAAGCTTCCTTTCTGCAGCTGACTCAGCTGTTTCCTGGTGAATCTGCAAAACATCACAGAAGATTGGGTAAAAAACCTGTGGTTCCATCTGTAATAATAGAAGAGACTTGGGCTGTACCTGCTACCGGAGCTGGGATCCCATAATTTGCTCCAGATAAGGAGCTAGTTGATAAAAGTAGGCAATGACCTTGGGCCAGAGCCAGGCCCTTTTATGACCAGTCAGTCTGGTTTGAAAGGGCAGCGCTGGTTTTGGTGAATTTATTGACACCTGTTTGTCAGTTTCAGACACAGTTTTCCCCAAGGACTAGGCTGCAGAATCCAGCTTCTTGTGGCCCCTGCTGACCACTAGTAATAATAGCTTGCATCTGTAGAATACTTTAAGGCTTGCAAAATCCTATATATAGGGGCAGCTAGGTGGTGCAATGGACAGAGCACTGGCCCTGGAGTCAGGAGGACCTGAGTTCAAATCCAGCCTCAGATACATAACACTAGCTGTGTGACTATGAACAAGTCACAACCCCAATTGCCTCATCAAAAAAAAAATCCTATATATAGTCTTACTTTAGCCTCAAAATAACCTGATGAGATAGGCACTATTTAAAAACCCCATTTTATAGATGGGGAAGCTGAGGCTAAAAGAGTGACTTGCTGGTATCACACGGCTAGTAAGAGTCTGAGGATTTGAATCTGCACCTATCCTGACTCTAAGGCTAGCATCCTGCCATCTCTACTCCTCTACCTTCTCAAAGTAGGGGGATTCTATACACCACTTAACACAAGGCTCCTCAAACATGGGAGTGCCTTCAAATGAGGGACTTATTTATTTCATTCCTTCATCATTCAAGCCACATGTGCCCTTTAACTCCAAAAAAGGTTATATCATGGGATATAAGGTTCCCATCACTGGAGACCTTCAACCACATACTCAATGACCAATTGAGGATGATATAGCTTCTGGAAGCTGGACTCTACAAATACTTCCAACTTAATGAGTCTATGAAGTAATTTTAGTGGAACATCATTTCTCCTTTCCCCCATATCTATCTATCTCTATCTATCTATCTATCTATTATCTATCTATCTATCTATCTATCTATCTATCTGTCTATGTCACTCTCTGTCTCTCTGTTTCTCTCTCATCTATCTATATTTCTGAGTTGGAATCAGGAACATGGGTTCAAATTCCACAAATCTGGCCACAAACATTTGCTAAATTTAGACCATAATCAAATCATAAGGTCTCTGAGCCTCAGGCAACAATGCTAAGACAGTTATGGATGGGTTGCAATCTACCTGAGGAAAGAGTTTCCACACCAGTTAGACCACACATTTTTATGTATTTAAAAATATATGGAGATAGCATGCATATTATAACATATGGTATATGTATGTATATCTAAAAAACTAACAACCCTTCTCTTCAAAAAATTTATAGTAAATTAAACTCTAACTTTACAACTCTTTAACTTGTCTTCCAACCTTTGTTCATGCTCATACCTGGATTTTTATATGCAAGCATATCTGGAACAAGTTGCCTCAACTAATGTATTTTGACAATATTATCATTCACACATACTAACTACACTCTGGAGATGACTGAGTTGAAAGGTAGAAAAGTAGCTGTGCTCCTGAGGTTGTTTCAGCATCCAGGTGGTCAAAGTTTTGTGGGCATATTTAGGAACATCTATATCTCTACATATACACATACATATGTATATGTATATATGTATAATATACATATATTATAATGACATAGTTTGTTGAACATAAAAATTGAAGGAAATAAGTTACGTATTTCTACATAGAACCATCTGCCTCCCAATCGCCTCCTTAACTTCTTCCCACTTGCCTCCTAATCTTCAGGTGTAGGGGGTATGGTTATTCTTGAGGGACGTGTACCCACAGCTCATGAAAAAGACATAAGGGGAGAGGACCAGGAGTCCAATTTCATACTACAATGGAAAAAAGAGCAGTGGGAGAAATCAGTCTTCCCAGACTTGGTCATCAACCAAAGCACTTCTCAACAGCACTCATTTCTGGGGCTTGGGATCCCACCTTTTCATGTTCCAGGATCTGGGTCACTTCTGCATTCTCATCTCCATAAATCTTGCTCACTATCTAATTAAGTCCCAGGACATAGTCGCACAGCTGTAGCCATAGTCACATAGACTTTGGTCTACCTCTTGGAAGCCCAGCACTTCAAAATGAAGGATGGCCATTGCTTGTGATTGGCTAGTCTGGCACCAGTGGCATCCAACAACCATTCTGGTCATTTGTGTGGCAGTCGGGAACTTCAAGGCCATCAGAAGAGAGAAGAAGCAGTCAATCCTGCTTGCAAGTGGACATACATATCTCATGGCCCCTTATTTCATTAAATGGCTTCCTTGTAGGGAAAGACTGTTAGCTTTTTCCTCTATGAGCCATCTGAACTAATGTACACATGCAACAAGACTCCCCATGACAGTAGAGCGACAATTGGTCTCTTATGTGTGTCAGTATAATCAGACACCTCTTGGCCAGGCTTTCCCCACCACTCCTGTGCCATAATAACTCTGGGTCTATAGGAGAATGATAATGCAGAGGGGTAAGAGGGCAAGCTATGGGATGGGCTACACTATTGTACGCATTCTTTTGCTGCAGTCAATTGAGTCATTCGCTCCCTTTGCCCTCATTGATTGGGCAGGGCCTACTACCAATGATGCAGTTTCATGACTGACTGATATTATCATAATAAGAGTATTCATTCCATAAGAGTGAATTGTATCTGCCAATGAGTAAGCCATAATGTTTAAAACCACCATGGAAAACTCAATTGTACATTGAAGAGTGATCCTCAATTCCTTAGCTCTCTCTGACCTCCACCCCTCTATCCAGTCTGTTGCCAAGGCCTGCCAAATTCACCTTTGCCATATCTCTCATGTATGCCCCCTTCTGTCCTTTGACAATGCAACCACTCTAGTGCAGAGGCCCTTATGACCTCACATTTGAATGCTTTGCCATTTCCTTCTCCAGCTCATTTTACAGATGAGGAAACTGAGGCAAACAGGGTTAAGTGACTTGCCCAGTGTCACACAGTTAGTGTCTGAGGCTAGATTTGAACTCAGGTCTTCCTGACTCTAGGCCCAATATGTATGTGAATGTGTATGTATTTACATGTACATAGATGCATATTTACATAACACACAGATATACATATATGTATGTATACCTGCTAAGTATTTCAATATAATTGGTTTCCTTTGTAGTCCTATATATTTTATTTATTTAAAATATTTATTTACTGTTAAAATTTTTTAAATATTATTTCTAGGCTCTGGTATAGCTCCTCTCATAATGAACACTTAATAAACATTTGTTTGTGTATTATCACGCAAAGTTGTGTGTTATAGTTACCCATTTTTGTATTAGTTCTTTACAACCCTGTTATTTCTATGATGGCAGGGATTCTATCTTGCCTAAATTTTTTTATTTCATGACCAGCATAGTACTTTGCTTGCAGTAAACATGTAAATGTTTATTGAATTAAATTGGCTTTCATAACATTCTTTTCTTATATTTGTATAGTCATAATAGAACTTATTTAATGATTTTCATGTATTTTGAGCCTATGTGTCTCATAGATGTGAGATCTTTTAAAATGGGGTCAATGATAGTTCTCGTTGTAGGGAAATTTAGCCCATTCATGTTTAATATTCTAAGTGATATAGTTGTATGATCCTCTACCACTCTGTCATTTTACTTTTATTATAGTTTTTTTTTGCTTTCTCTTTCCAGTTATGTGTATTCTGTGGAAAAGCAAAGATCTTCATTTCCTTTCAACTAGATAGAACATCAACTTTATCTAGACTGCCTATTTATGTAACATTTCAAACATCAATATATTGCTATACATTTGTTCTAGCTATTTCATCCTTTTAAATGTAAATCTTGGCTCAGTGCTGCCTCCTTTATCTGGACAAAAACTGATTGTGGCTCTGATCCTTGATACTTACATTGGCCAGAACGCTCTAGTTCAACACTCAAACCACTGCCTTCTGCTTCAACTTCTAGTGCTTACATCTGTCTCTTTAGCTTATACAGGTTGAGAAGACAAGGAAGGAAAAAAATGGAGATGAAAAAGAGAAGATGTAAAGGGCAGATAATCTTTTGTATCTATCATACTGGGCTTTGCTCATGTTGCATAAAAGAAGATCATCACAATCTCAGAAGGGGAGGAGAAGTCCTTTTCAGTGCCAGAATCTCAGAACTGCATTGCAAATCTCATTTCTATGAATCACTTCCTCAACCTCAAGGGAAATAATAATTCAAAGAATATAAAAGGGCAAGACAAATTCTCTTGGGCTGCATAAATAAATAAACTTTGAACTCTCATTTGGTGGTGACATGGAGTCTAGCTTATGTTAGCCCTCCCCTTCCCCATTCCTGCCTACTCTTCCTTGGGAATCTGAATCTTCAATTCAACAAACGTATTTGTTACGTGTCTATTATGTGCAAGGCTCTGGGATACAAATATAGCACCTAGAATAGCTACCTCAGGTTCAAGGTACTCTATAGGTCTATAGCTGCTAAAAACCAGATGTGACACATGAGCTCCCATTGATATGTTTACTTTTTCCTCCTGTAAGCTGAAGCATACAATTAGTTCAAGATAAAGGCATGTAATAAAATAGCATAGTAAGAAAAGTCAAAATAAAACATTTTCACCATAAACCTGGGGCACAGGTATATCTCAAAAATACATACACCACATGTGGTGAGGATAGGTTTGTTTAGAGATAACGTACAATGCTCACACATATAGAGAATATATGTGGCAGAACACATACATGGGGATAGGAAGAGAATAAGCATTTATAGAGAGCCTACTATGTGTCAGGCACTATAGTAAATGCTTTACAAATATTATCTCAATTTGATCCTTACAACAGCCCTGAGAGGCAGGTGCTGTTACTATCCCCATCTTACAGTTGAGAAAACTGAGGCAAATGGGTTAAGTGATTTGCCCAGGGTCACACAGCTAGGAAGTGTCTGAGGTTGGATTTGAATTCAATTCTTCCTGACTCCAGGCCTAGCGCTCTACCCACTGAGCCACCGACTGCATCAATGGAGGAATAAGTCACAGCTCTAATGCTATAGGACTATCACTGTTTTCTGGTGAGGCCTTCATCCTACTCTCTTCAGCTCTGTGACCTGCTGGGTGTAGCTTCTCTTCTGAGTGCTGTTCTCCACTGGTCTCATGGTGGCATTGCTCCATGGGTGGATGCTAGCCGCGGTATTCTTTGCTGGCCACTGCTCTGCTAGTCTCATTAGATTTTGTAGTGGGTTTTGCTCACATTGTTTTTTGGTGCAGTAGGAAGAATACTGGCTTTGGAGTCAGAAGACCTGGGTTCATTTGTTGCCTCTGATGCATGCTACCTTGTGACCCCCGACAAGGCAGTGAATCCCCATGAGTCTCAGTTTCTTCATCTGTAAAATGAAGGGGTTGGGCTCAATGGCCACTCAGTCCTCTTTCAGCACAAGACCCTATGACCTTGCTCTTTGCTGACACACTAATCAACTTTTCCCTTTGCATCTCCTTCATCTATTCTCTGGACTCCATCGATTCCTGTGGGATTTTTGAGGATCTTAGATTTCAAGTCGTCCAGGTCTTGAAATCATAGAAAAAGTCAGCTTGGGCAGGCTCGGTACATGCAAGAAGAGTGCCGTTTCTCCTCGCTTTGTTTCAGGCCTTGCTCTCCTCCAAAGTCAGCATGTAGCATAGTGTTTGACACTTAATAAACGCTCTTTGACCTGGCTTGGCCCTAAGTCATTCTTGGTTAGGCCGCTGTGCTTTTATCTTTGGATCTTCGGCATTTACCATAGCAACTGGCATCCAGTAGGCACTTAATAAATGTTAAGTTGAATCAAACTGAATCTCCATTTTACAGAATAAGGAAATGAGAGTTCCCAGAATTGCTCTAGGACACCTTTCTTGTGTTATGGACCCCTTTGGCAGACTGGCGCCCAGGATTACTTCTGAGAAGAATATTTTAAAATTTAAGAATAACATCAAAAAGTTTAAATATAAATAAATATTTTAAATAAATAAAATATATAAGATTACAAAGGAAACCAATTATATAAAACATTATGATCATATATATATGTAAATATATGTACATGTACACATGTATGCGTGCACATGCATATATACATGTATATATACACACATGTATGCATATATAAATATCTACACATACACATATACATTGGGCAGGAAGTCAGGAAGACCTGAGTTCAAATCTGGCTTTAGATACTCACTGTTCAACCCATGACAAGTCACTTGACACTATTTGCCTAAGCTTCCGCATCTGTAAAATGAGGTGGAGAAGGAAATGGCAAACTACTCCAGCGTCTCTACCAAGAAACCCCCAAATGAGGTAATGAAGAATTGGACATGACTGAAAAACAACTGAACAGCATAAAACACTTGTGATATATACACATACACCACACGTATGTATATACATATATGTACACATACACACATAATCATAACTATTTCACTATAATTGGTGATGTAATATAAAGTGATTTTATGTGTGACACGCTTAATGTGTGTAAATGTAAAAAAATACTGTGTCACACACATAATGTGCAGACGCCAGGTTAAGAACCTTTGCTATGCTCCACCTCTTGAAAGTTTATGGTTTATACCGGGGGTAGGGAACCTGTGGCCTTCTAGGTCCTCAAGTGCGGCCCTTTGACTTCACATAATAAAGCCCCTTCATAAAAAGATTTGTTCTGTAAAACTTGGACTCAGTCCAAAGGCCACACCCAAGGACCTAGAGGGCCAATGTGGCCTTGAGGCCGCAGGCTCCCCACCGCTGGACACCATTCTCTTCTTCTCACTTTCTCAATCAGCCTTACATCACCACATTACTACACATTTTGACTTTCTCTGCATTAGTTTTATCATTTGACTTTTTGGCTGATCTAAATGTTAATTTTCCTCTTGCTTTTATGTGATGTAATGGAAAGAGCCCCAAATTTAGACCCAGAGAGCCTGGGTTGGAATCCTAGCTCTGTCACCTGCTAGCTCTGTAATCTTAATTGTGACTTTATTTCCCTGAGCCTCAGTTTCCCCATCTGTAAAATGGGAGCAGGAACACTTGTACTACATACTTTTTTTTTTTTGGTGAGGCAATTGGGGTTTTAAGTGACTTGCCCAGAGTCACACAGCTAGTGGGTGATACGTGTCTGAGGCTGGATTTGAACTTGGGTCTCCCAGACTTCAGGGCTGGTGCTCTGTCCACTGTGCCACCTAGCTGCCCCTTATTACATACCTCACAAAGCACTTATGAGGCTTGAATGAAATAATGTGTGTAAAATGCTTTGGAAATAATAAATATATAAATGTGAACTGTGCTGAAATGGAATAATCTTATGAGACAATTTATTTATGCCAGAGACTACCTTTTCTTGCTTTCTTTTTTCTTTTGTTGAATATGTTTTTGGAAGGGTGGTAGATTTTAAAATATCATTTGGATCCTAAGCATGCTGGATCCTGATGCAGAAACTCAGGAGAACTTTTTCAATGCACACTTACCATTGCTGGCTTTCCTTCTTAAATATTTGAAACACAAGTTTAAGTTGTGGGGAAAAAAAATACCCTGAAAGAATGGAATGTATTCATTGAGGGTGGAGCCTCTGGGTCTAAATTTGGGGCTCTTTCCATTACAGATTTAGAGCTGAAAAGGGTCAGAGACTATCTAATCCAACTCCCTAACCTCCCCATTTGCAAAATAAGGAAATGGATTTCCCAGGATCACTCAGGTCCAGAGAGCTTAAGTATCTTATGCCAGGGCAAACACAGAACTGAGAGAATCAGATTAGAACCTAGGTCTTCTTATTCCAAATTCAACACTCTTTTCACTCATATTCTTTTTCTTTTTTTGAGGCAATAAGGTTAAGCGACTTGCCCACGGTCACACAGCTAGTGAGTGTTATGTATCTGAAATCAGAATTGAACTCAGGGCCTGACTCCAAGGCCGGAGCTCTATCTACTGCGCCACCTACCTGCCCCTACCTTTTCTCACTCTCACCATCCTCACTACAACCAGTATTTGACATAAATAGATTGTAAACTCCGTGAGGGCAGGGACTATCTTTTGCCTCTTTTCGTATCCTCAGCACTTGGCAAAATGTCTGGCATCTAGAAGGTGCTTAATCAATATTTATTGATTAAATATAAAATGTTTATAAAAGTCAGCCAAGAGATGTTTGTGAAATGACTAGAGGTGTTTGGAGTTTTCTACTCGGAAACAATACAGACATATACCATTAGAATGCAGTCCTACATTCATGGGCACCCTCATCTCTACCTGCATTTCCTGAAAGGTCACAATCCCAAAGCTGTCTCTGTCCCTTCATTTTCATGTAGTAAGAAGTCACTGCCCTGTGACTACATTAGGAAATCCATTTCTATACAAAGGGCTCAAGCAATGCCTATGAGTCAGCTTCCAAGCCCCATCCCATTTGAAATAGAAAGACCAGGTTAACGTCAGCAATTCTCAGGTTCAAATTCAAGAGGAGTAATATGTCCAGACCACCTGGAAGGGAAATTAATTCAAAAGAGATATAACAGTTTTGTAAGCAAAAAAAAAAAATCTATCCTCAGTTCTACCTAGAAACAGACAAAAGCAGTAAGACACATATTCAAATAATAATACATCATGAATTTCTCATCCTCTCTACACAAGTCCTTGGTGACTTAGAGACTTGCTCAGATGATGTCTCACAAGGTTGAAAAGAATTCTGGGAGGAGGAGGGTGCTGAAAAGTCCTATGACTCCTCCTGCTTGGTCTTCTTAACCATCTGGTTTAACTGCCGTGGTAGATTTCCTTTCCCAAAAGCCTTTGTCTGTAGAGGCTTGTTTGTTTTAGGCCTAAGTATGAGGGGTCAAAGACCTGCAAAACCCCGGAATATCTCCATCTTTCACCAAGACCATAACAAATGTGATTTACTGTGGTGTTGTCAGTTGTTCATGTCCAACTCTTCATGACCCCATTTGGGTTTTCTTGGCAAAGAGATTGGAATGGTTTGCCACTGCCTTCTCCAGCTCATTTGACATATGGGAAAACTGAGGCAAACAGGGTTAGGTGACTTGCCCAGGGTCCCACAGCTAGTAAATGTCTGAGGCCAGATTTGAACTCAGGAAGTTGAGTCTTCCTGACTCCAGGCCTGGCCCTCTATACATCGTGCCTCCTAGTGCCACCAGATAAATTCATCCTTAAATTGGAAAGACAAGGTCTAGACCATATCACTATCTGGTATGA